TAAAATTATATGTTATGCAATTATTTATTTTATAAAACTAATTCAAAATATTTATATATCCGCATCATATAATTTGCCACATACTTCTTACTTTGTAAATAATATTTAATATAAATAAAAAATAGTAAATTGACTATAAACACCAAATAATATTCAACACGAAATGAATCTTAGATTCTAAATTGATATATAATTTTATCAAACATTGAAATTTAATTTTATCTAATTTATATTCAACTTTGTCGAATTAATATCAAATTATTTTTATTTTTATTAAATAAATATTAAAATTTATTTAATCAATTTTTTAGAGTACTAAATTAAGTCTTATTTGATTTTATTAAATTTTTAATTTTTTTTAATACTAAATTTGGGGAAGAACAATTGTAAAAAAAAAATTTTGAGATGAAATTGTCAATTTTTTTAGTAATATTGACGAAAGTGAGACATAGAGGGTTTGATTGAAATGAATTTCAAACTTCAATGGTCTTCATGTTATTTATAAAATGTCAGGAGGTGCAGTGTAATATTGTCAAAAATTAACGAATATCCATAATTTTTATCCTATTTTTAATTAAAGATTAATTTATTATTATTTTATTTTAAAAACTTGAATTATTGTATTTCTAATAAAGAAAGTTATAAGTCAAGAGGGTTTGTTGGTAACTAAAAAAGAAATGTGTGTGGGTGTGTTTTTGTTTAAATTTATATGTAGAGGATTGAATATTTGGTGATTAAATTTATAATTATATTATGTCATTTTGTGGTTAAATATTGATAGTGGTTATAAATTCATGAGTTTTATAAATAAGCATGATTTTGTTGATTTGATTTATTGCTAAAAGATTGTGAATTTAATTGTATTCTATTAGTATTTTTTTTTCTATAGTACCTTCAGGTATGAGTAATGACCAGTAAAATAATAAAATATGAAATATTAAGTGTTTTACATTTTGATTGATAGAAATAAAAAATTATGTTATCCACAAATTATTTTTTGGTGACATAATTGGACCAATGAAAGTATCAAAGTGCGGTTTAAACAAAATTAACTCCAACTTTTCAATCAGATTCAGCTGGTTCCTATTCACCAATCTTCACCGGTGATTATGATGCTCACAATGGTAAATGAGACAACCCAGATTAACCAAAGTGTTCGAGAAACTTGTGTTTACGACATTTGATAGTGATTATACCTAAAATCATTCAAGACTTAGTTCGGTATTTCCAGCTCGGACAACTGAGCAAGGATTACGCAAATCATGACCATAGTCTTGAGGTGCACAGATCGAAAACCTTTGTTTACGAATATTTTATTAATGATGACAAGGACAACTGACAACTGACACCTTCTAGAAAGTCAAACCACACCCAAGAGAGTGTAACTCGTAACGGGGCCAATATCTTGATCGAAGAGTCGCAATTGCCCCAGTGCCATAGACGTTGATTGCGCAAAGAGAGCATCGATTACAAGAAAGTGGCAAGGATCACACAAGACATCTGAAGACTATAAAGAGTGATCTCTACTCACAATAGATTCAAGCAATTATATACATAATTACTTTGTATTAACTTGTGTAATTTCCCCCTTCTTATTAATAGAAAAATTCTCCAAGAGCAAGAAAATTCATTAGAGTGGATGAGCCGAGCTCCCAAACTGGTGAACCACTATAAATCTTTTGACTACTGTTTCTCACATCACATTACTTAAACACCAAGAGCCTAAAAACTCTGATTGGACATTCTAATGATTCCCAAATCTCTAGATAACTTGTCTCTACTCAGCAGTATAGAACATCACCATCAGTGGGCGCCATCTGTGAGAAACGCTTGCTTCCTGTTAAAACTCTACTAATATATTCATTAATTGATGGTTTCTATGTGCAACATGAGCAGAAATCAAATGAATCCATTATGCTTGTATAACCAGTAAGAAATCACCATTGGGGTACATCAGGGGATTCCTATGAATCCCCTGCCTAACTCAAAAGTTTATCCACCAATGGCGGATCCTCCTCAAAACAACGAACTTGAGGCTCTTTGTAAAGCCAATAATTGCCTCCCCCAACCAAAACGAGGATTTGTTGAACCTCATTCGTGCCCAAGAGGATCCCCCATGAAGAGAACATCATCATTAGAATCCCTTATAGGAGGTCGTAGTAGAAAATGAACACAGTCATTTGGTTGGCAACGCCCGCCGTTGATCCCAAAGGAATGAGGAGGAAAAAGAGGTCCAAAGCCAAAATAGAGGAGTCCCTAGAAACGAGTTCCCCAAAATCCCTCTCCAGCAAGAAGGAAAGAGTAATTTTGAGAGCAATGTTTTATAGCGATATAACAAGAGCTCAGCCACATGAAAGAGGCAGTAAAAAACAAAACACCGATGACAACAGATGCCCTAGTTCAACAGACAGAGTCTCCATTCACCCCCGAGGTGTTATACTTTCCTCTTCCCCAATAATTCAAAATGCCATAAATAGAGACTTTTGATAGGATAAAAGATTCCATGGTCCACTTAAAATAAAAAATCATATGGAATTTCATGGATACTAGGATCCAGTGTGACATCAAGCTTTTGCTATCACCCTGAAGAACTCAGCTTTAGCTTGGTTCAACAGATTGCCCTATCATCGATCTTCTATTTTAAAGAGCTCTCAATTTCATACGTATCCTACTTCATAGGAGCTCAAACCTACCATAAGCTGAGGTATCATCTTTTGAATTTGAAGCAAGGGCTGAGCGAATCACTATGAAGGTATGTCCAGAGGTTCAACTCGGAGTCCATAAAAATGGACATTTTTTATGAGGAGTTTGCCCTCACAGCCTTTATTGCCAGGTTGGGAATGTAATCAAAGGATCTAATGTTTTCAATTTCCAAAAACCCATAAGCCAATATGGTTTAGGTGTTGGCCAAAATGAAGAAATATATTAATGGCGAAGAAGTTCTCCACTCAAAAGCTAGAAGCTCTATAGCTCATAGAGAGAAGGAGAATATAAGAGATCGAAGTCCAAAAAAGGACAAAAGCCGAGAACAATCTCCGAGTAGAGACAGGGATCCTTCCCTAAAAAGAAGAGGTGACATCAAATATTGCCTAGGTCCCCCACCACAAAAACTACGACCAAAGTATACTCCATGACAGTTCACTCCCCTCAAAGCCACAATATCACAAGTACTCTATGAGATCTAAAATGAGAAGTTCTTGAGGTGACCACCTCAGATGAAGGTATATCCCAATAAACCGAATGCCACAAAGTATTGCAAATATCACGGAATCACAGTCATTACACCACAACCCATGAGAGAAATCAAAGTTATTTCCAAAGGATTTGTGGTAGGTGGAGGCACTCCATGTCCAAAACACCTTGGCTGAGCATAGATATCACATTCTCGAACTCGAATGTGGAAGGCTACCAGAACCCTCATGATGATCCATTACTAGTAAAGGCCATCATTGCCAACAAAGCCATCCACCTAGTTCATATTAACAATGGAAGCTTGGCCGACATCATCTTTGCATTAGCTTTTGACAAAATGGGTATTGACAGAGATAAGCTAGAGCTAGTGAGAACCCACTTGCTTGGATTCTCGGGGGACAACGTATTCCCCCTAGGTTGATCCAAATTGTTCTCCTAGTGGGGGATCCTCCCTATCAGTTAACAATCATTGTTCAGTTCTTGATCATGGATGCTCCTTCAGCATACAACGTTCTCTTGGGGAGACCTTCCCTCAATAACATACTCAGCTTATCACCTAGTAATGAAGTTCCTGACTGAAAACGATATGGGAATGGTCCGAGGAGATGAACGCGTAGCAAGGAAGTGTTGCATGGCGTCTATGAAGTTAAAAAAGGTCAAGACCATACAACTAGATTAGCTTGACATGAGGAACGAGCTAGAGGCAAGGCCTAAGCCTTCAGAAGAACAAGAACCTGTCCAACTGGACGATAACCCAGAGCACCTAGTGTATGTCGAATCAAGGTTGCTCAAGGAAGTCAAACACCTCATTCAGGTTCTGAAGCCAAAATGTCAAAGTTTTCGCTTAGAAACAAGAAGACATGTAGGGGATCGACCAATTGGTGATTGTGCACAAGCTCAACATTAACCCGACCTTCAAACCCATAAAATAGAAACAAATGAGCTTTATCCTAGAGCACCAAAAGCAATAAACGAGGAAATCTCAAAACTCTTCCATGCCAAGGCCATTAGGTAGGTGGATTACCTGACCTAGTTGGCCAATTTGGTCCTCATAAAGAAGACTAATGGCAAAGGGCGCCTCTACATCGAATTTACTGACCTAAATCGCACCTGCCCTAAAGATAGTTTCCCATTCCTTAGAATCAACTTGATCATGGATGCCATAACGGGTCACGAACTGCTTAGTTTCATAGACGCTTTCTCTAGGTATAATTAGATTAGAATGGACCCCAACGACCAAGAAAAGATTTCCTTCATAACCGATTAGGGGATATACAGCTACCAAATCATGCCTTTTGGGTCAAAATATGTAGGAGCCACCTACCAACGATTAGTAAATCGTATGTTCCAGGCGCAGATTGGTACATTTATGGAGATTTACATAGATGACATTCTGGTGAAGTCATTGAAGGTTGAGCTCCACGTTCAGTACCTTGAAGAATCTTTCCAGATTCTCAAGAAATACAAGATGAAACTCAATCTTACAAAATGCGCCTTTTTGGTATCCGCAGGAAAATTTTTAGACTTCATAGTCAATAGCCGAGGCATCGAGACTAATTTGTAGAAAGCTCAAACAATGATTGAAATGTAGCTGCCCACTAATATAAGGGAAGTCCAACGCCTGACAAGGAGAATAGCAGCATTAAGCCGGTTCATCTCTAGGTTGAGTGATTAATTCTAGCCACTCTTTAAGATTCTAAAAATAGTTTTCAATTAAAATGAATAGTGTGGGGAAAGATTTTCAAAAATAGCTTGTATTAAAAAACAAAGATTACAGGGCTAGAAAAATTACAAGAGAAAGTTAAAAGCTAAGTATCTACTGCAAGGTCAGTTATCTCTTCAGGCAGCTCTGGACCAACAATGTTTGCCTCACCCTCTGGCAAAGTATGAACAAGGTCAGAATGACTCTCAGGCAGGGAAATGGCTATGCTTGTTGGGTCTTTGGAAAGGATTGGTGCAGGGGCCTCGACCTCTGCAAGATCATTTGGGGACAAGATTTGCTCAAACTCGACAAAAGTAGCCACCAGGACCACCTCAGAAGGAGCTGTTGGCAGAACAAGGCCAAGAGCTTCAATCTTAGCAGGAGCGCTTGGTGAGAGTGTGGAATTAGGAGCCTCGACCTCAATTGTCTCCCCATCAGCTTTCTTCTCAGCAGGGGATCCTTCTTTCTCTTCACCAAGATGAGGGTCGAAGTCAAAGTCCAACTCCAAGTAGTTTTTCATAGCTTGCTCTTGGAAGACAAAGCAACCCTTAGCCCATACCGTGACACACTCATCCTTCAAGTCAGCGATGATAGAGTCCCTCTCAGTCACTTTAGCATTCTCATCATCGATTTCTTTTAGGCAAATAGTGTTGATGTCACTGAGCTCCTTGAATTCATTTTTCACTACTTGAGTGGCCTCCCAAGCCTCCAGCACGTCCTTTTTAGTCTTAACAAGGCCGTTTGTTTTGAGCTTGACCTAATCATTCTTTTGCTTGACATTAGCCTCAAGCCTCTTATTTAAGGAGCTTAGGTCTTGCACCTAAGCCTTCAGGTCATCATTTGTGAAACCCAGCTTGGAGACCTTAAGCTTAAAGGCCTTTAAAGAATCCTTGGCCACCCCATCAACCTTTTCCATGGCACGAGCTCTACCTACCAGGGCTACAACATGGATCGCCATCTGTAAAGAAAGACAAAAAAAATCTAAATTAGAAGACAACAGGCAAAACTGATTAACTTAAATTGAACATGAAAGCCAGGGACTCACTGAAGTCACCCTATAAAGAGTAGTGACGGCTGAGGTAGAAAGAGGCATCGAAGAGGCCTCCTTGATGTCAACCTCATAAATAATGGAAATGAGGGTGTGGGTAGTTAGATTCACATCCCTAATAAGAGAAATCTTGCCTTTGATAGTCATAGCTAAATAACTCTCTATTGTGCTTAGGAGCAGCTGAGGGAACATCTCTTCAGTAGGCTTCAGCGAGGAAGGATCCCGTAGAGATGGAACTATCACCTCTGAGGCCCCAACCACCTCCTTCAATGGAGGGGACATCTTTATGACCTTTACAGAAGGTCTCCTAGGCTCAAGAGGAGGAGGAGAGGCTGAAGAAATCATTATGGGTGACTTGGGGGCAGACGGATCCTTTTGGGGAGAATCCTTCCTTGAAACCTTTGAGGGAGGCTTCAAGTCGTCTACTAACCCGACCTCAACCTTCTTTTTTCCTGCAGCTTTTACTTCCCTTAACCAGGCCACCTTGGCCTTCATAACCTCAACATCTAGGGCCATGGAGCTCAGACCTATAAATAGTGGCCAACTAGTTATCGATCCTACAAAAGTGAAAACGGAGTAAAGGCATAAGGTAAAGGTCTTACCAACAAGATCTCCTCCATTAAGACAAGTTAGAGGTATGAAAAATTCACCTTTCTCCTCAAGAGCCCCAAAGCCATACCTAGTAAGGACAAAGGGTGTCAGAAGGCTGATGTACTTTTCAAGTCGATAGTCCTTGAGGTCTTTGAGGAGTAGTCTTTTGTTCGCGTCGAGCTCAAGACGAATACCTAGAGCAATAGAGAAATAGAGATCAATTGAATGACACAAAATAAGGAGAAGCTCAAACCAAACCACCTCGGTAAGGGCTTACCCAAATTGTCTAGGCTTAACCAAATTGTCTAGGCTTGACCAAGCTTGAGGTACATTAAACATGTTAGAGGTGTCCCTTAGATTGAACTCCCACCCCTTCCCAAATACCAAAAAAAGAGGTTTTTCCAAGTTTTATGGGAGCTCGAAAGGTTAGTGATTAGATATTGGGTCTTCACTTGTTTCAAAATATAAAGAAAACCGTCAACAAGAGAAAACTTGACATTGAAATAAAGGGATCAAATGAGGAACACCCAAATCATTTTTCTTAAAAAAGACCATAAGACCTACAAGAATAGCCCAAAAATTAGGAGAAATTTGAGTTGGACAGATGTTGAAGTGCTGAAGGACAAACTTAAGGAAAGAATGCATAGGAAATCTGAGACCGTTCTCAAAAGAAGCAATGAAGAAGCATGTCTTCTCAGGCATCATGGTGTCATATCGGATGTCCACATGGGGACTTTAGAAGTGCATGCCCTGGAAAAAGCCAAATTTAACAAAAAAAATAAAAGCACCCAGAAGGGGAGGGGTAACTTTGCAAGGCCACGTGATGTTCAAGGCGCTTGGATTGACCTTTGCATCCCTAACATTGTTGGAGGTCCTAGCTTCACCCTTCTTAGATCTTCTCGTTTGAGATTTATTGGATATTGGAGTTAGGCCTGGAAGGAGTAAGGGAGCTTCAACCTTGACATCTTGGGCGTTGAGGGCGACAACTCCAGGGAAATTATCTATCTCATCTCATTTATCCCCCAAATCCTCGACCTTGTTAGGGTCTTCAGTTCGCCTCCAACAACGAGATTGGACCTCGAATTCGGGAGATCTATCGGCCATGACAAGAGAGACAAAAGAAACAGTGGCTTCAGAAGAAGCTGGCATGATGACGTGAGGATAAGAATGATTAACAGACATGTAAAGAGAACGAACGTTCAAGAAATAGTCCTTAAGAGCCCAAAAGTCAAGGCTCTAGCGACCAAAGAGGAAGATTCTAGCAGTGGCGTAGGGGTTTAAGAAAAGGGAAATAAAAGACATAGAATTACATTGACTCCTAAAATAACAAAAGCGAAAGGTCCAAAAGTGGAAGATTCTAGCATTGGCGTAGGGGTTTAAGAAAAGGGAAATAATAGACATAGAATGACATTGACTCCTAAAATAACAAAAGCGGAAGGTCCAGAAATGGAGTAACCACCTCGGATTTGTATGATCCAAGGTTGAACAAACACCCTAGGAGAAAGAAGGAAATAAGGGAGAAAATACCTAGAAATTGAAGGTGGTTAATGATAAAAGACCCAAGGTGGACACTAGGAATAAACCAAGCAAGCTTCAAGGAGACCTTCGAGCGTTTTGAGCTATCACAAAGCCAGCCTGGACAGCAAGGAGGAAGAAGAAGATGAAATCGTAAGAGGAAAAGAGAGAAAAAAAAAGTTTTCTGGGTCAAAACACCTAGATTTTTTAAATAATGACAATTGCGTGTACGATCAAACACGTAGCAAATAAAAATTGAACGTGTACGATAAACGAGGCAAAAATGACTTGCACGTATTCAATGCCAAAAATACTGAAAAACTTTCCATCGTGCAATTCCTAAGAACAAATCGAGTTGAGCTCGCTTACGATGGCGCAGAACAGCCCCAAACTACTTCAGACAAGGCTTACCTGGCTGGAGATTGGGGGACAACTGATGATACCTCAAATCATCCCAGGCTTAGCTCGGTACTTTTATCTCGGACAACTAAGAAAGGATTATGCAGGTCATGGACCTAGTCCCGAGGTGCACAGATCGAAAACCTTTGTCTAAGAATCTTTGATTAATGATGACAGCGACAATTGACGCCTTCCAAAAGGCCATGTCTCACCGAAGGGAGTGTAACTCGTAATAGCTCAACATCTAGGTATAAGAGTTACAACTGCCTCAATGCCATCGACGTTTATTGTGCAAAGAGAACGTTGGTTACGAGAAAGTAGTGAGGATCACAAAAGACATTTAAAGATTATAAATAGAGATCAAACTCCTCACAATGGATTCAAGCAATTATATACACAATTACTTTATATTACCCTGTGTAATCTCCCATCTCTTATTAATAAAAAGATTCTTTAGGAGTAAGAGACTCTATTATAGTGAATTAACCGAACATTCGAACTAGTGAACTATTATAAACTTTCTGATTACTGTTCCTCACATCACATTACTTAAACACCAAGAGTTTGGAAATTCTAAGTGGACATTCTAATAATTTCCAAATCTCTAGATAACCCCTCTCTGCTCAACCGTGTAGAACATCAACATCAAATAGAGTTCAAAAACTTCGACTTGAGCAAAACTTGTGCAGTGCAATAGGGCCATAAGATGAATTCTTCAAAATTTAAAATTTAAATTCAAATTCGAATAGTCAGATATGGATTAATATTTTTTACTGATAATTCGAGCATGAATTCGATAACTTATATTTTACGAATTTAAATTTGGATATTCGAATCAAGAATTTAAATTTGTATATTCGAATTTGAATTATTTATATATTTTTATATAAATATTAAAGAAATTTAGTTAAAATTTAGTTAATTAAATTATTTGAATCAAATTGAATTTTTTTATTAAAATCGAAGAACGATAAAAAATAAAATTTATCAGGATCGAACTTTTAAAATTGAATTTAAATTTCAATTAGTTAGGAATCTGATCAAAAATCGATTGGTTGACAAACCTATCCAGACCATGAGTGACCGTCCACACGTCCTCTCTCCTATAAATACGCTCCTTCCCTTTACTTCCCCACCATGTGAGCTCTGAGATACATAATGAAGAGTGCTTTTATTTGCTGAGTTTAAGCTTCTGTTCCTTCGTGGTCTTCAATTATACACAGTAGAGGAGGATCTGTAAAGCTCAGGAGGGATAGCGCCATGAATGATGATGATGATGGTGGCGGTGGATGTGGGGTGTTTCTGTGGTATTTTTCTGGATGGACCGGTGGTTTGTGGAAAATATTTTGTGACCATCAAGTGGCGCTATCTATCCTGAGTTTCACGGGTTCTTCTTACTATTTCTGGTACAATGAGTCTCCAGCAACCATTATTCCCATATGGGTATGCTCTATATCTACTGACTGTTACACTTCAAATAAATATATGTATATATATATATAACACGGACTGTTTGATCTTTATCATCTCACTGATCATGTGTTTTCTTTCTTTCTTTTTTTTTTTCCATTCTTGTTTTTTTTTCTATGATGATTATATCCAACGCATATGACCTCTCTCTCAATCGACCAAATCACGATCTTCTCACCATAGATATGTGTTCTTGTTCCTGTTTGATTTAATGAGATGGAAATAGCTGTTTGAAACGGTCTGAGACATAAGCAACAACGTTTCAACTTTCAGTTTATGCTCTTTCATTGAGTTGTATATTTTTTTTTTAGCAAAATTTGAAACATTATTATACTACCTGCAGATTTTATTTTAGGCCTGAGTCGAATATGTCTTTGTTCTAGGTCTAAGTTATCCTTGTTCTT